GGAGGAGCCGGTGCTCAGCAGGGACGAGGACTCGGAGGAGGACGGTGACTCGGAGGCGGAGCGCGAGACGCGGCGGGTGACGGCCGTGGCGGTGATGGCCGCCGAGCCCGGGCACATGGACATGGGCGCCGAGGCCCTGCCGGGCCCCGACGAGGCCGCCGCGGCCGCCGCCTTCGCAGGCAAGTGCCGCCCGCCCGCGGTTCCCGCGCACCTGTCCGCACCTGCCCCACACCTGCCCTGCGCATCTGCCCCGCACACTCCCGCACGACCTGCCGGCACCTGCTCCGCGTGCACTCCTCACACTTGTCCTCCACGCGTACCTGCCCTGCCCACGCCTGGCTGACTGGCACACCCATCCTCCCCCAGCACATGCCTCGCACCTACCCTGTGTGCCGTGTGGTCCCTGCACACCTGCCCCATGGGAGCATCCTGGCCCTGCCCCGCCGCATACTTGCTCCCTGAACTCCTTTCCTTCCTTCCAGTGCTCTGCGCTACTTCCGGAACCTTCTCGGTTCCTGCCTCTTGCCTTGCGTGTCCTCCCCTGTCCTGGGTGCTGGTGACGCAGGGGTCAGACACGGCTCCTGTCCTGGCGGAGCCCGGGGTTGGGTGCATCTGGTCACCCAGAATCCTGAGGGCCTGCTCAGGTGTGACCTTAGCGCTGGGGAGCAAGGCGCCTCACTTAGTCTGGGAGGGCCCGCAGCCTTTGGGGGCAGTCCCCTCTGGCCTGTCCGCGGGGCCCCCATTTCCTTTACGGATCTTCCCTTCTTCGGGCGCCACCCGGGCTGCTGGCCCACGCTTTTGTTCTTGCCACACAGAACATTCTCATTTTCAAGGTTCATGAGCCATGCCCCAAAGCGCCTTTTAGAGGTTGTGTCTCCCCGGGGCACCGTCCCGAAGGAGGTAGAGACTTTCCTAAGCATTGTTCCCTCCCACTTGGGCTCCCGTGTGGCCAGCAGAGCTGGGCACTGGAACCCCTGGGGAGCATCCTAAGGCTCTTCTACCCTAGGGAATTTCATGGGTTTCAGAACTGGACAGCGGCCTCCCCACCCAGTGCTCCGGTTTATCCGGCCCTGGAGGAGCTGCGTGGGGCCTGCAGCCCGTTCCCTCACTGCCCTGGTGCCTGTGGTCTGTCCGGGATCCTCGCAAAAGGCAGGGAAAGGTGGCTTTGTGGCCCTTCAAGGGTTCCATTTTCGTGGCTAACCTCTGGTTTAAAGTTGAGATTTTGGATGGTGAGGTTTTTTTTCAGCTTTGTGTTTTTTGCACGTTTTTCTGAATATGCAGAAAGGGAGTGTGATGCTGTTCGTGGCAACATTGGAGACACGTATTGACATTACGTGTTTTTTTCCTGCAGAGTTTTATCCTTGTGTTTTTCCAGTGTGTTAAAACTTGTTGGTTGTGAATTACCGAGGTCAGGTGATTCCCGGGTTTCTGTAACTCAGCAGGACACGTTGCTGGCTTGAGGCTGCCTCCCGAGCTGCTGGCGAGCTCTTTAGACCTGAGCTTGTGTTCAGACCCCTCGGGCCCGGGCTCCCTGGGACACAGTGGAGGAGACAGATGGGGAGCAGGTGTTTTTAGAGCAGTTTAGTGAGCTCGGGCTGATGGAATATGCAGGACTCTCTGTCAATTTGAGCACCTCCCCCAGGCCACAGGCGCTCTAGGTTTGGGACGTTCCAGAAGGCAGCGCCACCCCTGGTGGCTGGGGGAGCATCAAGGGAGGGCTGTCCAGGGCAGCCCGTCAGGAGTGGGCCATGGGCAGTGGGGGGAGCACGGGGGGCGGGGCGCAGCGGCGCCCCCGTGTACAGACGCTGCTGGGAGGGGCCGGGCTTAGAGTTGGGGGGCGCGTGGGGTGGGCACAGGCAGGTCTGCCGCTTTTCAGGAGGAAGAGGTCCGTGGCAGGTGGGGGTGAAGGAAGGGGAGGGAGGGATAGACATGAGTCTTCCTGCACTGACCTGCAGGAGAGGGGCCAGAAGGATCCCCACGCGGAAGGGAGGGAACTCTAGGATTTTAGGGGCCTCTTTGGTGTATGGTTTTAAGTAGAAGGGAGCGAGATGCCAGGGCAGAGCTGTCGCCAGCTCGATGGGTGCGTGAGGGCGGGCGTGCCCTGTGGTCTGCACTGTGCGTGGCAGGCTCTGTGGAGAGGGAAAGGTGGCCTTTTGTCCTTGGAAGGACCAGGTCATTCAGACTGGTCTAGAAACGTTGGTTGGGCGTTTCGTGTACAGCGTGAGGCTTCCCACGGTAGCTCAGGTACCTGACCTGGACCCACCGTGGGCCGCCCCCCACCCTCACCCTATCCCCAGTGGTCTCTGGCAGGGCCCTGAGTTAGGCTCCTGTGTTGCAGAGGTGACCACCGTGACAGTGGCCAACGTGGGCGCCTCGGCGGACAATGTCTTCACCACGTCGGTGGCGAACGCCGCCTCACTCTCGGGCCATGTGCTGGTAAGCCGCCACGGGAGCGCTTCTGGTCCCGAGGGGGGTGGCCCGTCCCCCAGAGACCCTGAGCCTGCTCTGTGCCGACTGCCTGGGGAGGGGAGGGGAGATCGCACGGTTTCCTTCTAGCCTGGATCACGCACCTGGGACGCTGTACACCTGAAAGCAAAGTGGTTGTTACTGAGATAGTGACAGACAGAAAACTGTTACTCCTGAGTGTAAGGGCAGCAGGTGGTGAAGGGCTCAGGGCTGCAGATTTAAGAGTCTTGGTTTATTTCTTATGGTATCAGGATGCACACAAGCTGATAGCCAGGCAGTGACGTGGTGCCTCTGGCCGGTGTCCTGCCTGACAGCAGACTCTGTCACGTTCTCATTTTCTAGGAGGGGCTGGAGCCAGAGGGTCGGGGAGTTAGGGGCGGCCCCAAGTCAGCGGGCTCTTAGGACAAGTAGACCCAGAAACTAGTGTGATCCTTCTGGAAACTGACAAGGAAAGGGGGTCTCAAGTGTCTACATGTCTCACATGCCTTCGTGAGAAAAATACTTTGTGGTTCTCTAATGAACACAAAGCATTCTGTTTTTCCGGTCGAGAGCTGTACGAATTCAGTGATTCAGATGCAAGCAGTGTAGACGCCCTTACTGAGGCATTGGCCCTGCAGGTCTGTGAGAGCAGGCCAGGCGGTGCACGTGCATGCCGGGTGGAGAGCCCTCAATCCCATGATAAACTTCTACTCACCTCCCCTGGTTTGAAGGCCACATTTTCAGTTGTAAGAAAAGGTCTTTGTCTTAGTTTTATCCTCTCAGCGTGAAAGCATGAGTGTCCCAGGCCTTGGTGTGGACGGGGTGCGCCGGGGTCTCTAGTCTGCTCCAGGGCTGTCTGAGTGAGGCCATGAGCGTGCGCCTGTGGGCAGTTGGGGTGGGCTCAGCGCCCGCAGGGATAAAAAAGGGGCATCTGGCTGGCCCAGAGGAGGCAGGCGCGGTCACGGCAGCATCCAGCCCCAGTGGAGAGGCATGTAAGCAGTGTGGCTTGGGAAGCCCCGTGTCTGGGTGGGCTCGGGCATGAGAAGGGGTCCTGCACTGGGCCTTGGCTGTGCTTATGAACTTGGCCTCTCGGAAACCCTCCCCTGAGGCCTGCAACCTCAGAGGCTGCCCAGGCAGACGGGAGGGCATTTCCTGTTCCAGGAACACATTTATCCCTTAACTTGGACAAGCCATGTGAGCATTCGCTCAGAGCCATGCAGACCTAATATCACCTTTTCTTGGCCTTGGCTCTGCATCTGAGAAGCGTGAGGCATGGTGGGCCCCCCGGTGGCGGTGTCAGCTGGAACCTCTCTGTAGGACCATATCCCGGTGTGCAGGTGTGCAGGCGTGCAGGAGTGCGGGCGTGCAGGTGTGCGGGTGTGCAGGCATGCAGGTGTGCAGGTGTGCGCCGGCCGCTACCACTTGAGACTACTGGTGTTCTTTCCTCCAGTCGGGCAGGACAGCCCTTCAGATCGGGGACAGTCTGAATACCGAGAAGGCCACGCTGATCGTCGTGCACACGGACGGGAGCATCGTGGAGACCACCGGGCTGAAGGCACCCACTGCCCCTCTCACCCCCGGTATGCCCTCCTGCTCCAGGCCTCGGGGGCAGAACGCTCCGAGAGCTGGTGGAGTTTATCCTGGGGGTGAACTTTATCTTGTGGTGAATTTCAAATTTCAAATACTATTTAGTTTAAGTATAAAAAGTGGATTTTTTCAGGCAACAGAAGAGTTGCCCAGAGGTACAGGCGGCGTTGCTGCTGAGCTGGGGGGAGAACCTGTTAGAACCAAGATGTTTCTTGTGCTTTCCTGTCATTCGGGGTGTGTTCAGGGTCTCTCATTTGCATGATGCTCTCTTTGCTCAAGGCCCTCAGTCTCCTCCGACTCCTCTGGCTCCCGGCCAAGAGAAAGGTGGAACTAAGTACAACTGGGACCCATCGGTGTACGACAGTGAGCTGCCTGTGCGCTGTCGAAACATCAGTGGCACATTGTATAAGAGCAGGCTCGGCTCAGGTGGGCGCGTGCGGGGTGGGCCCAGGTGGGCGCGTGTGGGGTGGGCCCAGGCTGCTTCTTATTTTGTTTTGAGGATCGCCTTCCTTTTGCATCCCCCACTGTAAGTTGGGGCCAAGGATGGCCGTAATGACACATAAACTAGTTAAGCAAACGGGCAGGTCGAGGAATGGGGTGGCCCGTGGTAGGAGCAGGGCTGGACCATGTTCCCTAAGGTCCTGGGTCAGCTGGGTGACCTGTAAGTAGAAGGCTCTGCAAGTGGGAAGACGTCATGAGCTCCGTGTGGGATATGGTGGAGTGTGCGGTGACTGTGGATAGCAGGTCGGGGCTCAGGCATGCGGTGGAAAGCGCTGCCTGCAGATGTGGGCTCGCTGTGGGGCACCGAGGGAGCGGCTGAGAGCAGGCAGGCCTGGGACACTGAGAGGGAGTGGGCGGGAGGGGAGATTGGCCTGGCCCAGTGTCAGCGGGAACTACAGCGGGTGGCTTCGTCCTTTCAGGAGGCCGGGGGCGCTGCATTAAGCAGGGGGAGAGCTGGTACAGTCCTACCGAGTTTGAAGCCATGGCAGGAAGGGCCAGCAGCAAAGACTGGAAGAGAAGCATCCGCTATGCGGGGCGGCCGCTGCAGTGCCTCATCCAGGTACCCAGGTGCCGCGCTTCCCCACCCTCCCTGCTCAGAGGCGCAAGCCGCAGGCCTGGCTCCTGGGGCATCGGCCGCAGGGCTTTCCAGGGCTCACAGGCTGGAATCAGATGGGATTCGAGTCCCCCGCTCACTTTCTGTGTGAGTTACGCTCACTTTCTGTGTGAGTTACGTCGCCTTTCCATCTGCTTCCTGATGTTCCAGATGGGATGTTGAGGGTGTTTGAGCCACACCTTGCTGTGAGGAGCGGATGAGGCAGCGTAACAGCTTCCGCTTAGGTGCACGTGGCTTTTGTTTATTTATTAACAGGAGAAAGTCAAACGGAAGCTTAATAGCACGTATACATGGGAGAGACCGAGGAAAACTGAGTAACTCTGCCTGTGACAATTAATTAATTAATTAATTAATTTTTTGCGGTGCGCGAGCCTCTCACTGCTGTGGCCTCTCCCGTCGCGGAGCACAGGCTCCGGACGCGCAGGCTCAGCGGCCATGGCTCACGGGCCCAGCTGCTCCGCGGCACGTGGGATCCTCCCGGACCGGGGCACAAACCCGCATCCCCTGCATCGGCAGGCGGACTCTCAACCACTGCGCCACCGGGGAAGCCCTGCCCGTGACTTTTTAAAAGACACCTAACTTCTCTCTCCTTGAGCTCATCCATGAGAGGAGAGGGCTCCTCATTGCTCTTTCTGGTTTAGCTCTAGGAGGTTGATAGAGAAATCACGCCTACACTCCCTGGCAGGGGAGAGATAGATGCTGCCACCAGCAGAGACATGTACAAGAGAGAAGGTTCTGGAAATGGTGGGATTTTACCTTCACAGGGGGATCGGGGTGAAACTGGTTGAGATCTGGGGCTGTTGACTCACTTCAGAGCCGACTTTCTCACATGTTGCGGTACTTTTTAAATTTCAGGATGGGATCCTAAACCCTCATGCCGCTTCCTGCACCTGTGCCGCCTGCTGTGATGACATGACCCTGGTGAGTGGGCCCCTGCTCCCCTCAGCTCCTCTCAGGGCTGCTTCCAGCTTAGTTTCTCCCTCAAATTCTGGGTTTTGACCATTACTCTGATGAGTGAGGCCTCAAGTGGCTTCTGGGGCTGCTCAAAGAACGTTAAGGGAAACTTTCTTAAATAACGGAAAGCTGCTATAATGTCACCGTCTTTTTTTTTTTTTTAACTGTCTTTTTTTAAAAAATAACATCTATTCATTTATTTATTTTTGGCTGCGTTGGGTCTTTGTTGCTGCGTGCAGGCTTTCTCTAGTTGCGGCGAGCGGGGGCTACTCTTCATTGTGGTGTGCAAGCTTCTCATTGCAGTGGCCTCTCTTGTTGCGGAGCACGGGCTCTAGGTACGCCGGCTTCAGTAGTTGTGGCTTGTGGGCTCTAGTGCGCAGGCTCAGTAGTTGTGGTGTAGGGGCTTAGTTGCTCCGTGGCATGTGGGCTCTTCTCGGACCAGGGCTCGAACCCGTGTCCCCTGCATTGGCAGGTGGATTCTTTAAGCACTGCACCACCAGGGAAGTCCCTATAATGTCACTGTCTTAACCGTAGGTTTTTTTTGTGGTGACAAGTATGTATATGCTGTTTTATGTTTGTCATTTTTAACGGCACGTTATAAAAAATACTGCACTGAGCTGATTTATATAGAGAACTTTTAATGTCTTTTGAAGTCTTTTCTTATTCTAAATTCTTAACTGTTTAAATAAAAGGGATATTTGCATTCGTTTTAATGTATGTTGCTGTATAGCTTTCAAAGTGTGAGCTACCAGTTTTCTTTCAATGTTTCTATTGTTGAATGTTATTTTTAAATGTCTTAAAATTAACTAGGAAGCTGCATGATAAGATTTCTTTTTTTAATTTTGATTACTCACCTGGTTAATTAGCAGCAGCTATGGGAGAAAACTTAATTGGGGAGATGTTGTCGAGTGGGAAAACCAAATATTCTAAAATTGTCTAGTCCTTGTGTAGATCACAGATGAGTCTAGTGGAATGACCAGTAGGATACTTGTGTGAGAATAAGATACTTTTAAAGTTTGCTTGGGAAGACTGGTAGGTGACATTCTTGGAGATCTTCCAGGGGTAAGAGGAGCAGAGTCGGGGGTCAGCCCCATCGGGAAGCATGGAGTACCTGGTAGGGTTGTTTTACGGTCACTCCAAACGCCGAAACCCTCAGGTCAGGTCACCTGGCGGCACATGTATGGAACATGTGTCCTAAAGCTAGAAACTGCCAGGAAGAGAACTCCGAGAAGACGTGGGCCCACGGGCTGGTGGCTGCGACGCAGTGCAGACATCCTTCGCCCCACGCTGGTCTGTGGGCTTAACACGGGTCTCTCCAGAGCCCTGGCAGGATCTTGTAGACATCAGCAAGTTGATTCTAAGATTCATGTCAAAAGGCAGAGGAAAGGGGTAGCAGCACGGTTTTGAGGACGAAGACTACAAGTGGAGGAATCACAGCACTTGACTGTCAGACTTGCTGTATTGTTTCTGCTGCCAAGACCGTGTTTGGCAGAGGCGGACCCGTCAATCTAGGAGCAGACCCACTGTCCACACACGGACCTGCAGGTGTGGGAATAAGTTGGACACTCACAGGCGTAGAAGTGACCCTTGACCTAAACATCACACTTTATATACACACGAATTCAAGATGGATCAAATGTGTCCAAAACTAAACTACAGTTTGTAGAAGAAAATCTACCCCTGATCTAGGGTTAGACCACGGATTTCTTCGACATGGAACCAGAGGCACAATCCATGAAATGAAAACTCATAGGTCAGACTTCATCAAATTGAAACATTGTGGCTTCTGCCTCAGGAGTGGTGCTGTGCAGGGCTCCAGGGACCCACTCCCCGGACAAGTAACCCTAACTGGTGAAAATGATAAAAAGCAACCACTTAAGGTCTCTGGAGATTGTCCTGGGGGCATACAACAAAAAAGGAAACATTTATCCAGGAAAATCTTGTGAGTCTGGCATTCGCGTCAGGCCCTGCTCCCTCCCTGCATCCCTGCAGCTCAGCCCAGGGAAGCTCCATCGTCCTGGCCCCGCTTGCCCCTAGGGTGGAGGTCCACGCAGCTGAGGCCAGCCGAGAAGACCAAGTGGCTCGGCGAGCAGGACTGATGGCCTGAGTGCCGTTTCTGCCCTGCTCCAGGGCAGCCCGTGGGGAGGAGGCTGGCAATGCAGGAGGGCAGCCAGCTCAGCTTCCCACCGGGAAGTGATCACCCTGAGAAGCCTCCTCAAAGGTTTGTCCAAAAAGCCACCCAGTACAGGAGCCTAATGTGACTGGATCTGACAGTGGAGCCGTTTGCAAAGGGTAGAGCATTTAGTTGGCTGAGTCCAACAGCTGGTGCGGTAGCTTGGTCACTGCCGCCTGGAGGCCTTTGTCCAGGACTGCAGCCAGGAAGCCCTGGAGGGAGGGGGAGTCATCTGCGCAGCCATTCAGTACAGCACCTAAAATGTCCAGTTTCAGCAAAAATTGTGAGACATGTAAAGGGCCAGGGATATGTGAACCACACAGAAGAAAAGCAGCAGGCGCAGGCACTGCCCATCGTGGGGGCAGCAGACGAGACTTCCAAGCAGCCTCTGTGTCTTCGGGGCTGAAGGAAACACGTCAAAGGGTTGTCAGCACGGGTCTCAGTCTGTGGGGGCTGGGCAGGAGGCCGGGGCACTTGAGGAGCGGGCGTTGACTTTCTCACAGTTGTGGAGGCAGGCAGCCCAGGTCAAGGTGCTGGTTTGTTCCTGTCGGGGCTCCTCCTGGCTTGTAGGCTTTTGCTTACACAGCTGCTCCTACGAGGGCACTAATCCCGGCGGGTCAGGGCCCTACCCTCAAGACCCCCATTGCCTCCTTACTCCAAATACGGCCACCCTGATGGTCAGGGCCTCACAGGTGGTCCTGAGGACACAGTTTAGCCTAGAAGGTGACGGCAACGTCTCAACACGTGGAGAAAATCAGTAAAGGGAGGAGCCACCGGGGACAGCCCGGCGGAGATTCTGGGGTTGACGCGTAGGACAGAAGCTCACTTACGGGTCCACAGCAGGCTTGAATGGGCAGCAGGAAGGGCCAGCGAGCCCACAGGGGTCTTGGGCGTGAGCTGGGAGGCTCAGCTGATCCTCAACGTTTTCCTGCTCCATCAAGGTTCTCTCCTCCCGCGTGTCGGGGCCTCGGTCTGCGGGCGCCCCCTGCTCCCCACGGGCCCTCTCCCTTCTCCTTCCTTGGTCCCCACTTGTTTTCTGTCTTCCGGGAATTCCTACAAATTCGGTGTTGATATTACTCTCCTGTTGGAAGTGCTGTTAACTCACACGTTCTCTCTGAAAGTATCTTTTCTGTTGCTTTAAGCCATTTGGGGCCTAGAGGGAGCTGAGGGAGCCTTGCACGGTTCCGTCTTCTGGCCGCGGTCTGGGCATGTCTCCAGGCAGGTCGCCATTGGGTGGAGAACAGTCCCGGGTGGCGTTTCCACGCATCTCACTTTGCCTCCCGCCCCCCCGCCCCGTCCCCCAGAGCGGGCCCGTCAGGCTCTTCGTCCCCTACAAGAGGCGCAAGAAGGAGAGCGAGCTGCCCGCCACGCCGGTCAAGAAGGACACCCCCAAGAACATCACCCTGCTCCCCGCCGCCGCCGCCGCCACCTGTGAGTCACAGTGAAGCAGCTGTCGCCCGCCACGTGCTCCTAGCGCGTCCTGCTCACGCGTTTGGCCGAGGGGCCTGGGCCAAAAGCAGGCGCGGCTGCCGCTCGTGGGGGCCCCCTGGCCTCTCCGGTCCCGGCCTGCCCTCGGCACGGACTTCACTTCGCGCAGCCCCGGGGCAGGCGCGGCTGGGGCACAGGTAGGGAGGGCGGGGGCGGGGGAGGCGCCCGCTTCTGAAACCCGGAGGAGGCGAGTTGGGCTGCGGTGGCGGGAGAGGCCTGGGAGGCGCCCGGTCGCTAGGGGCTGTCATCAGCCCGACGGCTCCTGCAGCGGAGGCGCCCCGGGTCCTTGGGGCTGGTTGGCAGGAGGAGGCGGAGCCCCCAGAATGCCGGGGGCCCCACTGCGTTTTCTCTTCAGCTTTGACGAAAATCTTTTTCTTAATTCAAACTACGAAGTCCTTCTTACGTTCTTTTAAATTTTATCTCTTGCTTTCTGACGAGACAGTACATCCAGGTGCTCAGGACACACAGCAGGAGCTGCGTCTGCTGGGGTGGGCATCTCTGGCCCCCCGCAGGCACCGCCCATGCAGAGGTGGCTGTGGGCCAGCAGACGCTGCTGTGGCCCCCGCGCACCCCACCCCGGCCCCTGGGTGTTTCTGCGACGTGCCTGGTGGGCCCAGCACAGTGACAGCTCTCCTGCTTTTCCAGTCACCGTGACCCCCTCAGGACAGATCACTACCTCTGGCGCGCTGACCTTCGACCGGGCGTCCACCGTGGAGGCCACCGCAGTCATCTCGGAGAGTCCGGCCCAGGGCGACGTCTTCGCGGGAGCCACAGGCGAGTTGTCTCAGCGCTTGGCAACGCGGCCCCAGCAGGTCGCTGGCAGGAGCTGTGGGGACCCCCGCAGGCAGGGGCGGCGGGACCAGGGCCTGAGAAGCTGAGGCTGCTCACGGAGCCTAGATGGGCACCGGGGGGCAGAAACGCCCCATGTGCTCGTGGAATGTTCTGGTAGCCGCCTCCGGAAAGTGAAAGAGAGCAGTGGAAACTGGCTTTTGTACTGTGTTTTATTTCATCCAGAACATCCCAAATACTGTCCCTCTGACAGTTCACGTCCTTCACTTCCACGGCTCAGGAGCCACAGCCTCCACCCTGTTGGACGTGCAGCGCAGCTGGGTCTCACGCCATCGTGTCTCTCTCCCCTGACAGTACAAGAAGCAAACGTGCAGCCCCCGTGCAGGGTCGGCCACCCGGAGCCCCACTACCCAGGGTATCAGGACAGCTGTCAGATCGCACCGTTTCCGGAGGCCGCGTTGCCAACATCTCATCCCAAAATAGGTCAGTGTGGAAGAATTCTTCGCGAGTGGCCGTCATGTGCAGAATCATCCTCTGAAAGGCTTCCTAGGTGAAGTGGGGTGTGGGGCTTCAGGCCTGTGTTTGTAAAGCAGGTTTCACTGGAAGCTGCTGCTCGTTTCTGTGTGGGGTGAGGCTGCTCACATAGCGACCTGTGACCTGCAGAGCCTGAGATTCGGCCAGGCTCTGACCAGGACACTGTGCTTGGGGTCTGTCCCGTGAGGACGCTTGTCTGGGTGGCCTCAGGTGAGAGGGTGTGTGCATGTCTGCGACTCGCCCCGCCTGAAGCCTAACGGGGATGTTGCCCCACGTATGCATTTTGAGCGATTTGTCACTGATGGCATATCTTGGACACATTTCTACGTCAGGACACTTTTTTACAGGGAGCATCGTAACCCCAGCTGGTGGACCTTTGTGTTTTTTACAGTTTCTGCCAGAGACGAGACAGCGAGATAGAAATCTGTCCCCGAGATCTAGAAAACACCCCTTCTCCTTCCCCTTCGCTTGTCTCACCGCTCTCTCCTCTTGCTGTGACACCCCTCCCACCCTTAAAGCTCGCCTCCGTCCTGCCTCTTCCCCACACCTTGCCTCAGACCCTGGCCCCAGGCCCGGCCGGGCTGTGGCCCTGCTGACTGCGGGGTCTGGGCAGGGCCTGGATGGGGAGTGTCTGCCCCATGTGGTCGGCCATGCCCTGAGCAGGGCTGCGAGGCCTGGGCTACCCATCCCCCGTCTGCTTACTTGTTTGTTTGCTTGTTTCAGCGTGGACGCGTGGCTTCCTGTTTCATTCAGGGCGTTGCAACCTGTTGCTGGGATGATTTGTATTGGGATGGTCCCTGATTTGGCTGGCGGGGGCCCCGAGAGCAGCTGCTGCGTCCTCTGTCCACCCTGTCACGCTGCCTGTTTTCTTATGTCTGGGCCCAGGGCCCTGCCCTTGCGGGAGCGGAGCAGGGTTCACAGCAAGGTCTGGCCATGGCCGAGGGCGCAGGCGTAGCT